ATCTTTTTTTTTTTTGTGGTCCATCATAATTTTGGCCGTAATAGGGTTTTATCAGAAGTTATTGTACTTGTTTACCAAAGAGACTAGGCGTGTCAGTGAAGAGCAGGTTTTATATGTAATATGTGGAGAAGACAGAAAAATCAAGGTAAATATCACTTGTGAGCAGGTTATTTTGCATAATTTCTAATCATGTTGTTGCTGTACATTTGTCAATTTATTCAAAAGTGTGAAAATATTATTTAACTGTGTATTTATTATGCATAAAATGCTAGCTATGAGATTAGCCTCCTAAAGGAGTCAATTATTTCATTTCAACTGCATAATGTTATCAAACCAAATTAAAACACATTATTTTAAATATGGTGGAAATTGCATTTGTTGAGGCTGTGATAAATGTATATCCACTGTTGGAAATTGTTAGTAGACCAATTAAACTAGTGAAAGTAGGAAAAGTGTGTTTTAATAGAGCTAATTTTCTACAAGTCCACAGGGCCAAAAATTTCTGAAGAAATAGTACTCCATCTTCAAGAAATTACTAAAAACACAGCTGAAGAAAGTTTTTAGTTTTAAAAAGCTAAATCTGTTCAGTTTTCAATGTGATTTCACTGCGGTCATGACTTTATGGCGTTGACTTTAATTCTGATTGCCTCATGCTGTGTGTTTCTCTTCGCTTCTCTTTCTGTCACAGAATGGAGTCCACCGAGAAATGTGATGTGGTGATTCAACATTTCAACGGAAAGTTCCTCAAAACCCCACCAGGAGTACCAGGCAAGTGTCAACAACACAGTGTGTTCTAACAATATTGTGTCCTAACCAGGTGCAAAGCGATAAAGTGACAATCAACTTGACATTTTGTTGTCTATTTTCACAGCTCTGTCCACAGTAAAATCTCATTGCTCTGAAGTCCCTCTCCATATAGCTGTATATTAAAGGAATAGTTCAGCCAAAAATGACAGTTCTGTCATCACTTACTCACCCTCGTGTTGTTCCAAACCCATATGTTTTTGTAAGTAAATGATGACCGAAATCTCATTTTTTATGAACTGTCCTTTTAAATATTAAATATGCTCTGATTTGCTGATTTTGACATCAAAATTACACCTGTATCACTCACTATGTCAAGATTTAGATATATACTAAACCCCCAAGCTCAGTGTGATCCAAAGCTCTCGTGTGAGGAAGCACACGTCCCCCCACTTTGAGTCGCTCTGCTCATCAGCTTCATATGACAGGATCTGATTTATAGGTTGATTAAGGTTTAATTTAAGCCTGGTGTGCCTGAGGAAAACTGTTCCCTGAGGGAAGCAGAATGTACTGCATATACTAGAGACAAACATTTATACTGAAGACAGCATTTAGAACGCATTTAACTTACATTACGTGATGTATTTCAGAGCGAAACAGAATATTAGTGAGATATGATGTAGGGCGGGACTTGATTTGATCTATTCTATACGCATTAAATTGGATTGAAAAAAGTGGGCTGTGATATTATTGGTTGGCATTATTTTTTTTGGCCTTGTTCCAAAATCATTTCAAAGGGTAAATGTGTTATTAGATTTGCTGATAGATTATAATCTTAATAGACGGTATTTGTGGCATATTATCAAGTTCCACTTGTCTCTCCTTTTCTTAAAAAAGTAAAAATCTAAGTTACGATATACACTGCTGTTCAAATGTTTGGGATCAGTAACATTTTTAATGGAGTCTCTTTTTTAATGCTCAGCAAGGCTGTATTTATTTGATTTAAAAAAATGAATATTATGAAATATTATTGCAGTTTCTAATATTAGTTTCCTATTTTAATATACTTTAAAATAAAATTAATTTTTGTGATGCAGCGCTGAATTTTCAGCATCATTACTCCAGTCTTCAGTGTCACATGATCCTTCAGAAATTATTCTAATATACTGATTTATTATCAATGTTGAAACTGTTGTGCTACTTAATATTTTTTTGGAACCTGTGATACTTTTTACTTTGATTCTTTGATGAATAAAAAATTAAAAAGAACAGCATTTATTCAAAATAGAAGTCTTTTCTAACAATACAAGACTTTACTATCACTTTTTATCCATTTAACATATCCTTGCTGAATAAAATTATTCATTTCTTTAAAAAAAGAAAGAAAAAATGTACTGACCCCAAACTTTTGAATAGTAGTGTATATTGTAACCCAACATTTTTATTTTGAATAAACACTGTTCTTTCTAACTTTTTATTTATCAAAGAATCCTGAAAAAAGTATCACAGGCCTGTTGGATGCAGTAGGTCTGTGTGTGTATCTGTCTGTTTTCTGTTTTAAGGAGGCATAGGCAGAGGGCTTGGGGGGAGTGTAAAAGCAACTGACAAGACAGAGAGAGAGATTGGAGAGGGCAGCCTGCAACTCTGGCAGTTGCTGTGTGATTTGTGGGGTGTAGCGTGCGGCTCGGTGTCAGACCCAAAGACAGAGGGATGATAGATTACTTCATCTATACCTCTCTCTCTCTCTCTTTTAAAGTCTCGCTCTCTCTTTTCTCAGTACTAACAGACTCCTGGCCAACTCAGTTTTGTTGTTACCTTTACACTGTGTCTTAACCAGGTGCGACATGATAAAGCGACAAGTGATAAAAACGTCTTCTGTGTAAATCTGAGTTGTTACTACTAACCAGCTGCGACCGCGACATTTTTTTTTTTTTCAGTGACTTGGTTTCTATTTCTGAAATGTTTTCCTGGCCTCATCCACACTGAAATCTCATTGGTCTAAATAAAATATAAAATAATGTATGTTATATTAATATAGACTACCATTTAAAAGTTTGGGGTCAGTAAGATTTTTAAATGTTTTTGAAAGAAGCATTTATTTGATCAAAACAGTAATATTGTGAAATATTATTACAATTTAAGATAACTGTTTCCTATTTGAATATATTTAAAAATGTAATTTATTCCTGTAATGCAAAACTGAATTTTCAGCAGCCATTACTTCAGTTTTTTAGTGTTACATGATCCTTCAGAAATCATTCTAATATGCTGATTTAGTGCTTATTATAATACATTTTTAAAACAGATGTGCTGCTTAATATTTTTCTGTGGACTTTTTCAGAATTCTTAGAAAGTTCAAAAGAGCAGCATTTATTTGAAATAGAAATATTTTGTAATATTAGAAATGTCACTTTTCTGGTCACGTAATTTAATTGAATGTGATTGAATAAAAATATTTATTTCCTTCAAAAAAGAATGGAAAAAAATCTTACAGAACCCAAACTTTTAAATGGTAGTGTATTTTAAATGTCAAACGTGGCATTTTTGTTGTCAGTATAGAGAAACAAATTACAGATTGATGCTTGAGGAAGAAGTTTACTCAAAAATGAAAATACAGTCATTGCTTACTAATAAAACTCATATGACTTACTTTCTTCCTTGAAACACAAAAGAAGAAAATCAGAAGACTATACTCGATAAATTGAGTTGAAGTCAAGAATGACTCAGACAATCAAACAATGCTTCAAAAAGACTCTACTCAAAAGAATGACTCAATCACAAATTACATTATATATTGCTATGCCCCTTACTAACACGCCAAGCAGAGTAAAGACTTAAAGGAATAATTCATCCAAAAATGATATTTTGAAGAATGCTGGTAATCAAACAGTTGATGGTACCCATTGACTTCCATAGTATTTCCTTCCCTACTATGGAAGTCAATAGGGACCAACATCTGTTTGGTTCTTCAAAATTCTTCAAAATATCTTCTTTTGTGTTCAACATAAGAAAGAAACATATACAGGTTGGGAGCGACATGGGTGAGTAAATGATAACAACACGATGCTTTTATGGTGCTTTATATAGTGGTTCCCAGCCACTATATAGAACAAAACAGTGTGAACATTCTTTAAACCTTCTCTTTTTGTGTTCCATGAAAGGCATACAAGTTTGGGGCAACACAAGTGAGAGTAAATTAACTGAAATTTCACCGGAATAAATTATATTTTAAAGTATATTAAAATAGAAAACTGTTATTTTAAATTGCAATCATATTTTACAAAAGCACAGTTTTTTCTGTATTATCAAATAGATACAGACTTGATGAGCATAAGAAACTTCTTTAAAAAACATTAAAAAAATCGTACTAATCCCAAACTTTTGAACGCCAGTGTAAGTGATATAATATACAATATAACAATATAAGTATAGCCACAAGACATAAACCATATGAATGTTTACATGATTTTGAGATGAAAAATTTGTTTACCAACCATTTCAGTCCATGAAAACATAATGTCGTAAACAATAAAACGAATGTAAAAATGATTTAAACACCTCACAAGTTTTAGCAGATGAATTAATATGTGCTTTTATAAAACTAAAACCTTCAGATTTCTGCTTTATATCCCCAAAAATTGGTTCATTCACTTCCACTGTAAGTGCCTGTAAAGACTGTAATTCCATTTTTGCTTATTTTTAAAGAAAATTATTGGATATAATTCAAAATTACTTCCCATGGTCATCAGCATTATGCTGATTGAGCTTAACTAGTATTGAACTCAGAATATTCCTGTAAAGTAACAAACACTCAGCAGTCATGCTTATAAAAGACCAGAGACATTTATTAAGAAAGTAAATTCTGTCACCCCTTAACAATGACAGACGCACGCCCAAATCTGTAAACAGTGTTATTTAATGGTGTAGTTTTGCAAAGCTCAGGGTATTTTCCTCAGTATTGCGCTTGGTGTTCATTCCCCTGCTGTTGCAGAGCGTTCTTGTTTCCCTTAGAGAGAGCAAAGCGAGCAAAGGCAACAGAAACAGAGCTGGAGAGGTTAGGGTGAATGAGAAAGAGAATATGCGATTCCTGTTGGATGCAGTAGGTCTGTGTGTGTATCTGTCTGTTTTCTGTTTTAAGGAGGCATAGGCAGAGGGCTTGGGGGGAGTGTAAAAGCAACTGACAAGACAGAGAGAGAGATTGGAGAGGGCAGCCTGCAACTCTGGCAGTTGCTGTGTGATTTGTGGGGTGTAGCGTGCGGCTCGGTGTCAGACCCAAAGACAGAGGGATGATAGATTACTTCATCTATACCTCTCTCTCTCTCTCTTTTAAAGTCTCGCTCTCTCTTTTCTCAGTACTAACAGACTCCTGGCCAACTCAGTTTTGTTGTTACCTTTACACTGTGTCTTAACCAGGTGCGACCATCACGATGCTTTTATGGTGCTTTATATAGTGGTTCCCAGCCACTATATAGAACAAAACAGTGTGAACATTCTTTAAACCTTCTCTTTTTGTGTTCCATGAAAGGCATACAAGTTTGGGGCAACACAAGTGAGAGTAAATTAACTGAAATTTCATTTTTGCATAACTTATCCCTTTAAAAACCACTTCTTCTGAGAAGTGAAAGGCAGAGAGTGAAAATAAGGCTACCTGGTCTCATGGCATAAATGTACCTGGCGGCACTTTTTAGCAAGACGCAAAATACGTACAATTAAAGGAATAATTCATCCAAAAATGATATTTTGAAGAATGCTGGTAATCAAACAGTTGATGGTACCCATTGACTTCCATAGTATTTCCTTCCCTACTATGGAAGTCAATAGGGACCAACATCTGTTTGGTTCTTCAAAATTCTTCAAAATATCTTCTTTTGTGTTCAACATAAGAAAGAAACATATACAGGTTGGGAGCGACATGGGTGAGTAAATGATAACATCACGATGCTTTTATGGTGCTTTATATAGTGGTTCCCAGCCACTATATAGAACAAAACAGTGTGAACATTCTTTAAACCTTCTCTTTTTGT